AGTCCACAGTTTTACTTATTAACTTGTTATTAGAAATACAGTTTAGCATGAAAAAGTGGGACTATGTTAGATGTGAGATTGTCGGGAAGGTGATTATGAAGACTACTATCTTCCGAGATGTAAGTAGTATAGTAGGTATTCACCAACATTTCGGAGGAACTTCTTGCCTCCATGTTCACAGCATACGTATCTGTAAATATCTACCAGAAATAAAAATAATCTTCAGCAACTATACTATTATCAGTACTGCATATATATGAAATGTAAGGGACAAGCCAGCCAAACAGAAAACACCACAAAACACCTACGGACAGATTTTCAGAGCTACGACAAAACTTTCGCTGTTCAAGGTGATGTAAGTTATTTTTCACATAAACTTTCGTTTTAAACTGACAATGGCCTAACATCGTGCTGTTTAATTCATGACTCGATTACAGAGTAAAAGTAAAGTAAAGGTATCCTTTTAACAGGCCTTGGAGGCCCATAGGGTTGTGAGATGTTGAGGTTCCCACATTTTCTAGACAATCGGCTCATAGATGGCGGCAAGGTTGTCAGTCTTACGCGCCGGCGGCTCTTTACCCCCAAGAACATCCCAAGAATATTCCTGGTACTCATTTCTGTTAGATGCTGAATCGACCCCAAGGCCACAGTGCGGCTGGAAGAATTAGGTAAATTGAAAAAATCCATCTCATCGGGATTTGATCCCGTGACCTTCCGGCTTGTAGCATAGTGCCTCAACCAAGTACGCTACCGCGTGCCCACACTGTGCACTGTACATGTGTAGTATATAAATCCCGTGAAATCCAAGGAATAAAGCGAATTACGTGTTGAAGTGACTGTACAGCAGCAATGGAGCACGTCGTTAAAAAATATTCGTCGAGAATATTTCAAATAAAAGAATTAAAAAAATTAAATCGAACTGCACCTGAGGGAATTCGCCCAATTTGTTAAATTAAACGTCCCTCTAAATTGAGAGCATAGCTACGCAGTCTCTGCACTTTACTCAGGAGGGGCTGTTACTTTTGCCTGAATCTATGCAACACTGACGTTCGTTTGTTGATTTGCGTCACGGACTACTGAATGAAAAAGATGAATGCATTTGCCTTGCCTAATAACATGAGGTACAGTGTAATTATTTGCTCCCATTCCATTACTAAAATATAAACGTTGTGGCAGTGGGAAAGCAGTTAATTAATTTTAGTATACTGCGCAGTGTGAGGAAACTAACTTGATAATGTGGCGTAGAGATCCGTTGCTAGGGAAAGACCCCGTAACAAACAAAGAGTACAGACGTTGTTATGCAATAAGCAAATTAACACACGGCTGGTTCTAGAAAATGGATCGGCAAACACGCACACAACAGAGAAACTGTTAAGAACGGTGTTTCCTGTTGGGTCCGCCCCGAGGATATATATATAGCGAGGCCAGATAATAATTGAAAGGCCCGTGTGGAGGTGGGTTCGAATACCTCCACCGTGACCGTGCGAGTCGTAGGAGGCGACGAAAAGGGACGTCTCAAATTTGAGACAGTAATATGTGGTCTCGGACCCGAGAAAGACTGCCTGCATATATGCCTGCAGCATATAGAAAAGACAGACCCGTCCTCTCATCAGAGAGGGTGCCCACAAAAAACAAGACCTAACTGTCAAACAGTACTAACGATCTGGTCGCAAGCCCCAGATGGGTGCTTTGTGACAAGACAGACTGGCCGACTGACTATCGGTCGTAAAATGAGACTCAAAATCAGATACTTGAGAGTGTTACTTGAGGGTTGGCATTTCAGTTGAGCTCTGCAAGGAAGGCTAAGAAAAGATGGTGCTATACTTCGGGTGACAAGTGTTGAGTTCTGCACGGGTGGATGTAATAAGATGACCTGAGCGCGGGAAGCTGAAGAATCTCCATTGTTAGAAGTCATTGCCAGGGAACGACTGTTAAAGACACAGCAGGCTGAAAAAGGCTTAGCGAGTGTTGTGGTGATTTCTAAAGTGTATAGATCAGCGACAGAGTTGTAATTTCGAGTGGTGTCAATAAATCCAATCCATATCCCGTCTATAGTCTCGCACACCTCTAAACCGTGACAATATCATTAGTTAGCAAGTTATTTGTTTGGAATGAAATGGTAACTACGTTTAAGCTGCTGTCATTTATTTTAAAGGCAAATAATCGGACAGTTCGGTGTCAAAATGTACTATGAGATTTGCTTGTGCATCAACTGACGGATCTTCGTTACAGAGATGACGTGGCTCTTCTTTTATTGTGAGTCAGACCTGCTTAGATTAGATTTTCCCTTACTCTAGGCACATCATAATTAAACTTTGGAAAGAAGTGGTCACTATATGTACCACCTGCTTTAACATACCAAAATTCTATAGTCTATAAAAAGAATGTGTTTGTATGCTTCGTATTGTTCTCATAATAAAGGGTAATTATTTTCCTGAACACCTATATCTGGCTGCTATTTGCAGCAGAAATGCCATGGGCCCCTGTGAGGTATCAACTGGATTGTTGTACATTATTTAGGAAAAACAAAGAAGAAAATAGGAAGAACGAAGGAAAGGCTCGCAGGGGGACTTAATCAGAATTTATTTCGACAAAAGTTCTACTTAGAAGCGTTGAGGTCACATTTTTGAACACTTACAAATTAAAAATGTATAAAAATTCATCGTCATATTTAAGTGAGAATATAGCTTACCACGAAAAAAAACTGAGATACTGTCGTGGTTTATTCAGTGGGAAATAAATGTTAATTTTGGGCCTCGTAACAGCTACTTACCAGTATTTATAAAGAATTAACGCATTTATACTCTTCCTGTGCTGTACTTAATCGAATTTGCTGGTGTTTTTACTATCATTTAAAGTGAAAGCCATCATCTGCAACTTAATATACCTACACAATGGCCGGCAAATCTCGAAATGGCAGTGATGCATCGTGAACGATTCAATAAAATAAAATAGAGTAGTAGATCTATTAAAAAATAACCCACAATGGTGAATATTATGACCTTCATCAGTTGCATCATTAACTTTCTTAAATTCCATTAGCGTTCATTAACGTATCCAGACGTATCTTGGTAATTACAAAATTTTTATGTGTGCTCTGTATGGGTGTGAAACTTGGTTTCTTACATTAAGGGAGGAAAATAGACTGAGGGTGTTTGAGAACAGGGTGTTGAGGAGGATATTTGGACCGAAGAGGGATGAAGTAACAGGAGGTTGGATAAAACTGCGCAACGAGGAGCTTCATAACTTGTACTCTTCTCCAAGCATAATTAGAATGATCAAGTCAAGGAGGATGTGGTGGGCAGGGCATGTAGCAAGAATGGGGGAGACGAGGAATGCGTATAGGATATTGGTGGAAGAGCCAGAAGGAAAGAGACCACTGGGAAGACCAATGCGTAGGTGGGTGGACAATATTAAAACGGATCTTAGAGAGATAGGATGGGACGGTATGGATTGGACTGATCTAGCTCAGGATAGGGACCAGTGGAGGGCTCTTGTGAACACGGTAATGAACCTTCGGGTTCCATAAGATGCTGGGATATTCTTGAGTAGCTGCAGAATTTGCGGCTCCTCCAGAAGGGCTCAGCTCCATGAGTAATTAAGTAAGTAAGTAAGAATTTAACATTAAAATTTCTAGAACTTGGATGTTAGAGAGAGAGATATTTAGGTAACCATATTTAAGACAGCATGGCCCACCTCCACTGAAAGTCCAGCAGTAGATAACACTACTTAACAGTGTCAAACCCAAGAAACAAGCATTCGGCTAGCGAATTCAAACCAATCTAAAAACAGCAATAAATACCATTTCCTGAGAACAAAATTTGAATTATAACATGTCGAAATCTCCACAATATTGTAGCGTGAATAGCCGCAGCTATGGAACGATCGTGAGATGAGCGGTTATATCCTTTTCTGGGCAACGGCATGCAAGGAAAAATTATGTTGTCTACGCCGTCCGTGCAGAGGAGTTATAAAGAAGAGAACTGGGGCAACAAATTCAGTTAATAACTGGCAGTAGGTTCTGTGCGGGACTTGAGCACGGAAACAGAGAAATAGCCCGTGTTGACATGCGCTACCAGGAAATACCTAGTGAAGGCACTACAAAGGAACAGCCTTGTTAGAAGCCGCTACCAGGAAACGTCTAGTAGCAAACTGAAGAATATTTAACGTGTAGTGATTTTTAAAGTGTGGAAATCAGCGATAGTGTCATAGTTATTTGTAGTTATGACCTGTAAGTGGTCATTAAATCCATACACCAATCCAAACCCCGTCTGTAGTCACATACAATATATGTGATAGTATATAACAGAGTTATTTAGTGGCTCATTTTTCGACGCTGTCAGCATGTAGACCATAAAATGTCGACCAGTAGAGTGAGCAATGAATTATGAATTGAGAAGTACTGAGAAGGAAGCGATAGTATTCTAATCCAGGTACTATCCCTGTATTTGACTGGATGGTCTGACTGAGGCCATCAAATTTCCTCTCTCAGGTGTAACAGCGTTAAGGCTGGGGCCACACGAGCGCACAAAATGCGTCCGTTATAACGAACGTCGTGACGTCCGTTGTATGAATAAACAAGAGAGGCGAATGCTATGCTTTCTTCTTGCTCCATTGCAGACAAAAAACTACTCACTGCATTCTGCAACTGTGTGGTGTCCTCAGCAACGTTCGTCATAAAGTACGTTCGTTACAACGGACGCATTTTGTACACTCGTGGCATAAATATTATTCTGGACGTTATCCATCGTTCTGTCTTTATATAGAAAAACCGCCCTGTTTATTTTTCAAAACACAATGTTTCGGAGACTGGATTTTATCTCCGTCTTCAGGTAAGACGTACTTAGTTGGGCCCAACTGATAGAATTAGTCCCTATGTCAGGACACCTGTGTCAGCACCAAGATGGGGTATACAAGCCAAGCACAGCACAAACCATCTGCGAGAGCTAAGAAAACTTTAAATTATTAGAACTCTATACGTATGAGGACTTGCTTCCTACCTGCTTATCGGTAGCTTCCTTGTTTTTCCCCCCACTGCCGCTGCCGGCTGTAATGAGGCGCTCACAGTAGCAGCCTTCAAGCAAAACAACTCCTGATGGCCGATTGCATGAATCAGAGTCGTAGTAGAATAGCAGGTTCTGAAACAAGAGAATTCACCATATTTACCATTTAATACAATTACACGGTGCTCTGTAAAATATTATTATAATCATAGCTCAACGGCTCTCCTATCCTTCCGAGACAAATAACATATTAAGGCAGAAGAGTAAAAGAAATTTTTGAATATTTTATTCAACATTCTGTCCTGCTCCCTGAGGAGTTGGCCAATAATTAGTTTCTTATTTAGGGTTACATGTTACATAACAGGAGAAAAAGTTAAAAGTATTTTATTTTGTATGACGGTCAGCAGGCTGGAGTTGAACCAGTGCATACGGTGGCATGAGTAGGCGCCATAATGCGGCTGGAAGGATTAGGTCAATTGAAAAAAATCCAATGACCTCATGGGGACTTGAACCCGCGACCTTCCGGCTTGTAGCAAAAACTTGTATTCACCCAGAGAAACCGCTTAGTGATAAAGTTCCTGACTAATATTCGAGAGGTTCTCTTTCGAATTTTATCTGGAATTCTGACTATCTTGAGATTTTTCGTGCTTTTCTTCAGTTCTTCCAGACAAAGTTCAGGGTAGGCGCTCGAGTAGGCTATGATAGGTACGATTCATTATTCATGATTCATCCTACCATTTCATGTTATATAGCGTAGCTAATGAAAGCATCCTTCTACGATCCACAATAATGAGTGTGCAAGGCTATACGAAAACAATTTTGTTTCTTCCTCATTAAATTAAAGGATAATTTCCAAGAGCATAGATTAAATAACTTCTAGTGACATGATTGTGAATGTAGACAAAATGGCAATGACATATTTTAAGATGCTAACCTAACGTCTGTTCGGAGGAAAACCACGAAATCTTTCAGTAAGCAGACCAGACTATCGGGCTGGTATTCGAAACCTTGAGGTACGGAATATGGATCCGTTCTAGCTTTGCAACCACGATGTTCCTTACAGAATTTTGATGTGGAAACCTCTGCAAGTATATAGCATGGTGGGAGCACGATATTCAAATCAGCCATAAAGAAAGAGGCAGTGAGGCTGTGAGATGCATTCAGCTGGTTTAGGTTCTGGTACAGAGGTGGATCTTTTGTTACTTATTTTGTATTTTCTTCTTGTTGGAAAGATAAATAATTCTGGCATCAATTATTCATGAAATGAAGGTATGGCCTACAGCGTTCAGAATTTTTAATATACCGGACGTATGCAGCGGGAGAAACCAGTGTGCCAATGCTGACTCAGATGCTTTTATCGCATATGTGTATTTGGAACAGAACGCTAGAAACCAATTCTTTTAAGCTACATCACATCTAACAGCGAGGCTAACGGGAGTTGACGTGGCGAAATTGTTTCGACGTTTAACAAAATTGTAAAAGGCGGTCTCTGGGTCTTTGTCATGGCAGAATGGCAAATTACAGGTTCCATTTTAATAGGGCACAGAAATATAACATCGCAATCGTGCCAATTACTCCACGTCGCTGTACAAAATTGAACGCAAAATTTTTCAAATTAAAGTTCATATCTGAATTGCATATATATAATATTTGTTCAAATGTAATAATTCTTCGTTATGAAATGTGTACTGTTATTTCATGGCTGTTAAAGCAGTCAAGAGGTGACGTCAGCAATTTACCTTCGCCTAATAGCGAAGGGAAGGAAAGGCTGGAGGTAATATGCACTTTCACAAGAAGGGAAAGGCTTACAGTGGGCTCCAATGTCATCCCAGCACCTTCACCCTAAATTTTCGTATAAGAACAATTGTTGACAAAATGATTATATTCGGTTTGATGGTGATGTAAAAGTAGTCTAGGGGTAACGTTCCCACCTCATGACTCAAGGTACGCGGGTTCAAACCCGGCAGAGGTCGTGGAATTTTTANTGGCGACTGGTAGAATATCAAAGGGGGCGTACAATAGACTATTAGTCGCGTTGCATGGGGAAACCCACCCCCTCCAATAATAATAATAATAATAACTAAACTAGAATTAACACCGTGGCTTGTAGTCCGCAAACGAACTATACCGACCGAGAGACCGCCGCTTGTCGGCAAAGTTGTGGAAATTACATCTGCTTCGCAAAGATTGGTGTAGGTTTCAAATACTAAATTTAATTTAAATGCAATAAGTTGTTTCGCCGGCGAAGATAAATAGGCCTACTTCTTCTAATTACCTTAATTTTGCGTATATCGTGTAAAATGGGCATCCAAAGAGTTGCAGAGTCCATATATAAGTTTTCGTATGGCGGAAGTATTATACGAGAAATTGGCTAGCACTAGATTTGTGTTAGGGAAGTACTTGGTTCGAATCTCAGTTAGGACACCGATTATCCTGAGATATTTCATGACTTTCCTCAGTCACTCCAGATAAATACCGGAATAGTACCTCGATTAGGTCAGTACCGTTTCCTTCCAGATCGATTACAATGCATGTCTCAACAATTATGCCAACGTTCGATGCTTCAGAGACAAAATCCTTAAGGCATCACAGATTTAAAAATTTTAAAAATCGAGGACTTTATTTTAGGAAGGTTTTCATTAAAAAAATGTAGCCATAAGAACGTCTAGCGTCCAAGAAGCAGGTGAAAAACACACAAATGGCTTACGTAAACTCACAGGTTTACTAAAGCATGGTCATATAAAACGAGAAAAGTTTCCAGGCGTTTTAAAATGTGGCATAACCTAATGGTGATATAAAAGAGTCCGCCAGGTGTTTAACTCCTCATATAAATTATTGTTTGTTTCCTCAAGAAACTTACTTTCCAATTTTCTTTTCAGCCGAAAAGCTGTCGTGATGAAAAACGAAAGGAAGAAATATGTGTGTGAACATAATAAACAGTTCTAGAAAACAAAGTCTAGCTTTTTTGTTGCTGTTTTCCTATTCATAACCCAGTGATAAAGGTTTGACAATTAGTTACCTGTATGTGCGATATTCTAGTGGTAACAAAAACAAAATACTTACGGAACTTTGCAACATTACATGAATTCGAAAATTTTATTCGCCTGCCATTGGGAACATTTACATAGCGCCATAAGCGATAAAATCATCCTTTTATTACAAACACCGACAATTTCCTAAAGCAAAATTTCATATTCTTATTTTTTATCTATTGTCATTAAAGGGGCACGCAGTAGCTTAGTTGGTTGAGGCACTGTGCTAAATTCCGGAAGGTCGCAGTTTCGATTCCTGACGAGGTCATTGGATTCTCAATTGGCCTAATCCTTCCAACCGCATTATGGCCCTCGTGTCGACTCTGCCTCTAACAGAAATGAGTACCAGGAATCTTCTTGGAGGTAAAGGGCGGCCGGCGCGTAAGGTGGACAACCTCACCGCCATCTGTTAGCCGATTTCTAGAAAAATATGGGAGCCTCGACGTCTCACAATCCTATGGGCCTCCACGACTTCTTACACGGATATCTTTACCTTTTTTATTATTTTCATTAAGGCCTTAGCCGAGTAGAATTGTGAAAACGCAAAGCTGTAGATTTGTATTTGGGAGTTGCTTCATTAGAACTTCGGTGTGAATTCCAGTTATCCTGCCTTATGTTTCTCGTGTTTTCCTCAGACCCTCTAGAAACATATCAGGAGAGTAGCTCTATTAAATTTTTACTGATTCCTTCCCAATCCTTTCCACTTCATAATTCATCAATCACCATATCATGGAAAGCTATAAAATCCAGAGATACTGTCAGTGCTGCAAAACAAGCCACGAGAAAACCAAGGCCTCCAGAGAGTCATACCGTCCATGTTAGTAATTTCCAAAATATATGAGTCACTGATCGGTAAAAAAAGTCGGTTATATAGGAGAGTTATAATATTGTAAACAAAGACAACGGTCTACAGATTTAATTACTATAAAAAACATATCACATCCCTCAAATCCTCCACATAGAACATTTATTTTACGTTCTTTGAAAGATTACGCATGAAATTTACGTTAGAGGCAGACAGACATTTATTTTCATATATTTTCCTCCAAATAACATTATTTTCAATTCAAATATGATAAAATTTCAGTCAATAACTTTAAGGCCTAAACTGCATTCACGTCATTTCGCTTGTGACGTGGAGAGAATTGTTTTCAAATTATCTCTTGTTATAAAAAAGTATTAAATAACACTGGGTCATTGAAAATGACCTGCTTTCCTGCCAGAGAATAGAACTGCGACCTCCGGAAAGGAAGGACAGTACTCTAACAACTTCTCTGGTTCTGCTGTAACTTATCAAACATGTATAGCTTCCAGTACTGAATGAAAATTAACGATGAGGCGTCTAGACCACCAGGAAGTCGGATCTGCAACTGCCAGAACACAGGAACTGCCCTTCTATTGTCTCTTTTTCCTGTCTCGTTCCGTAACAAATTCCACCTCTTGTTTAATTACTTGGTACGTCATTTTCTCGCCGACGCATTGTAAAGATGGTAAATATATAAGCACATTTAAAGGAACTTTCATTTCATTGAAAACAACTGCATACATTTAACAATTAGTGGAGTATTTACCTAGGATATTAAAGGACACGAGGGCTGAAAATAAAGCAGTCATATCTAAGTTTTGCCCTACAGGTAACAGAACTAGCAGCGGCATATATCCTTATATCGGACTACACGAGTCCTGCGTTTTGTGTATTCAAGGCATTTGAATTCAATTAACTGCTTCAAATCCAAGAAACTGGAATAGAATTTTGTGTTTTGTTGAACCAGTGCTTACTTCCTTCTAAAAAAATAATGGGTAATATATTTTTGAAAAACAAAGAGATAATTAAGCTGTTCAGTAAAATTATCAATGACAGTAGTAGTAGTGGTAAAGTAAAGTAAAAGTAAGTAAAGCTATCCCTGTACCAGGCCGTGAAGGCACATAGGGTTGTGAGACGTTGAGGTTCCCACATTATCTAGGCAATCGGCTCAAAGATGGCGGTAAGGTTGTCAGCCGCGCTTTATTCTCCAGGAAAATTATTTAATTAGTAATAGCATTATTAGCAGTAGTAGCAATAGCAGCAGCATCAGTAGTAGTAGTAGTAGTATTAGCAGCAGA